AGAGAGAGTTTAGTCAGCTATTTGACATTTGAATGGTTTTTACCACTTGACGGTTTCATCCATAAAAACGGCTTAAATATAAAGATAAAAATTAGTAGCAAATATTTTCTCGGGTAATGATATTCTTTCTAAGCGATAACAGTTAATAAGAACTCATTTTATGTTCCCGTTAAGCGGTTTTTTCTCTACAAAGTATGGGCTACCGAAAGTTGTTCGCAACGGGCATGTTCTTTCTATGATCTGTGCATATTTATAATTCTTACGGTGTATTACTGTAGTGATAACTAATGTTTTGAAAAGTTGATGTAGTTTTTCTATGGTATTAAAATGCTTTTCATTAGACATTTGTGTGTGTGTGTGGTGAAGGCAGGAATTAGTATAGTGTTTAATTATATACAATAAAAAAGATTTGACTTTTTAAAAATTATTTTGGTAAAAATATTGACAACTTAAGCATTTAAGCTACCGTGATGACAGGATTCTTTCAAATGAAGCTGATATCAGCACCTGATATTTCATTACAGCCTTCCAAACTACGATAAAAAAAAACATTTTTAGTGAAACTCTGCTAAACAAAAGAAACATGTTTGTCAAACTTAAATTGTGCAGTTCTTATACCTCGCAAACGGAAATTTTTTATTTCTAACTCCCGATAATCATCTCTGGAATCGATTACCGTAAACCCCGTTGTAAGGTAATCTGTATATAAAAGGAACACGCATGCCAAATTTCAAGCATGTAGATCTATTCATTCAAAATTCTCACGATGAAGTCAGTTACTTTTCTTCCCTCGCTCTATATAGATTACTGTAATGTTTTTGTGCAATGTATGAAATCAGGAAGAATGATTACGAAAACTCATAATTAGTATGAAATATAGTAATGCCCTAGAGCGGAGGTGAGCAATTGTTTTGTCTTAAAGGCCACATTTTTGAAGAAGGCCACATCTTTTCAAAAGAATTGCATTCATTAGTTATATTTTTATCTCAAACGAGGTAGCATAATAATCAATAAATATGTTAAACAGAATATTAGCAGTTTTATTCAATTCATTTATTGCGCTAATTTCCTATCATCTGTCACTGCAAACACATTAAATTTTAAAATCAGTTTAATAAGACAAGTATACTCTGTCTGTATATCTAGAAGGGCCACACACAAAAAATTATTTGTGGTCATCTTTCGTATTTTGCCCATCCCTGTCTTAGAGAATAAAAACAAAATCTTTGTGCACATGATTCATGTGAACACTTTGACATCATCTTGCATTTAAACTTAATTGCTTAGCGTATAACAGGCAAAAAGTATGACGTAATTTAATTTGTCATCACGAGCAGTTTTTAAGGTAAGTATTACTTCTTATGTCTAAAATAAAGCAACATGCCATATATTTGTATTTGATTATCTGACAACTTACAAAATGAAGGAAATATGGCGAATCATTCAGATTATAAAGCAAATACAGGATTATGTAAGTGTAGGACGTTAAATACTATGCATGCATGAAAAACAAAAATAAATATTAAATATGCACAGAATTTATTTTGGTTATTCTAGAACTATTTACAGAAAAAGTACACAAGCAGTAGAACATTCTCCGTAAAATGTTTTTTTTTCCTGTTCTGTACATAATATTCATTACTTTTTTCATCTTCTTATTGATTGGTCCTTTTTTAGATCTTGACAAATATGACGTATTGACTTTTTTACGGCTCAAGGCATCCTTCCTTAAGCTGTTGGGCTTCATGTATAAAGTGCATAAAGCAGAAAAATATACATATACAGTATTAGAGAAACGGTAAAAAAACACGTGAAAAGTTCATACATGTGTGCAAAACATATAAATGAGGCAGCGTCACTCTCAATATAAGCAACTGTATAACAAAATAAATATTTACTGTAAATAAAAATATTTCAAATATACATTTTTTAGTACTTAAAAATAAATATATATCTGTATGAAATTTTATGTTTACGAAATAAAGTAATATTTTTTCGTATATGTAATCACGATTTTATTTTCATTGCAAAGTTTTGGAGTACTGCGCTAATTTTGTGAAATAGTGAGATATGTTGCATAATAGTCTTATAAAAAAATTTTAAAATTGAATTCGTTCTATGTTTGTGTATTTTTTAAAATTCCAAGGTTTTCTGATTTTTGAAACAAATTATTATTTACTGTTCTCTTCCTTTAGAAAAAGTTCTTTCTTCTTTGGATTTCAGAATATAATTTATCCAATAACATTGCATGTGTATCATATAAAATTGAAAGCATCATATAAAAATAAATGCCGAAAACGGAAATAGGTTTAAGCCTTTTGTTTAAAAACAACACGAAAAAATAAAACTTTAAAGAAGATAAAAATATTATGGTGAAAGTAAACCCACATCTCCGAGTTATTCTGTACAAACTTTTATTTTTTTGACCGACATATTTGTGATTCTTGGAAAGATATTAAATTTATTTTCTTGCGCATTAACTCTACAGTTTAGATAAAAAAAATTACTTACGCTACCAAATATAATGTAAGATATTCAGATATTAAAATATCTTGCCTTGAGAACTAAAAATACTTTCGTAAACACTTTTTTCCGTTTCATATAAACACATTTATATAGATTTTCGGCAATATCAAATTAATAAAACGTGTTTTATGAGTATAGAAAAGTAATTTTTTTTCTTCTTTTGAAAATAAATATAAATAATATTTACATTTGCACACATAAAACAGAAACAATTTAAATATAGTCAAATAAAATATATTAAGTCATTCGAAGAATTTGTAACGTAAGAAAAAATGAATATTATGTTTTTGTATATCTGATTTTATATTTGGAGTTAATGATGAACAAACACAAAACACTCGTAAAATTATTATTTTTATCACTTTGCAATAAGAAGTTGTTTTTATGTTTTTATATAAATGTAGCTAGGGAGAGAGAGAGAGTGAAAGAGAAGTTCAGAATTAAGTTGAACATTTATTACGTTAATAAAATTAATTTATTAAATTTTTAATATTTTTATGAAACAACTAACTCTTTTTATGTGCATAAATATTTCAAATTTCTCTTCTACAAAATAAAATTCTGTTACTTTTTTCTGAAAAAGAAATACTTTACTGTTTTTGGTCAGCTGAATTTATATGTATGTATATAAATAGCAAAATATATGCTGAAAAGTCTTTTTCTGATCACTAAATAGTTTTGTCTTTTAACTAAGCTTTCATTCATTTACGGGAAAAATTGTGATTAATTAAATTTATACTGAAATTGCCTTTGAGGTTAGAACTGTCATATCTGAATACATAAAAATTATTTTCCCTTACAGTGAGCTTCCAGACATAATCCATAGATAATTTCTACCTTTTATACTGAATTTTTTCTAGACAATAGAAGCAAATATTGGCGCCTTTTATATCTTCCTCTTAAATATAATGTGCACTGTGAAGCGTTAGAGCTGCTGTGTTCTCTCTGTTAATCTGGTCTAAAACAACAAATAATGTCTCACCTGTACCATATATCTATGTTATACCATGTTTTTTACAAATATTGTTCAATTAAAAGCACCGTTTCTTTCATATATTCTTTCCAGGATCATAATTGACAGCGAAAAAGGTCTATTTATAAGGTACTTCAACCCCTTATAATTCTTATGAGATTGATATTTTTCATACACTCTTCATACCACTATCATCTAAAAATGCTGGATTGAATTGCTTTTAAATCAATTTTTGTACATAGCCATACTAATTCTATGTTATTAAGAAATGAGTTTCTTTTTAAAATTATTTTTTTATCTTTATATTTTATTGTAAATCTTAAATAATGTTAATTAAGTATTTGTGCACCACTTGCGTAGTAAAAAGTTTTCCATTTTTGAAAAAATCTGCAGTTGCAGTATATATATATATATATATATATATATATATATATATAATTGCTATTTACATTAAATTCTAAATTATCTATGGAAAAGAAAAATGAAGATAATTAAATGTAATATTAATAAAAACGACGAAAAAATTGAATTTAAGAAACATCCATTAAATTTATAAAGAAACTGGATTTTTACAACTTATGTTTAAGGCATAATTAATTTTTTCCATGAGTTCTTTACTTTTGACTAGTTACTAATGCTATTTTTTTCTTTTTGCAATTCATGGAAAAAGTTTCTCTTTGTGGATAAAAATTCTTATAATGTGTGTTAAGAACCTTATTATTATTAAAATGCAAATGAAATAGTTCATGTAAAACTATTTCAAAATTAATTTGTGTAAAAAAAAATTTAACTAAAATTTGAAAGTCATTTCATTTTGCAATAAGCGGTTGCAAAACTTCTAAGTACTTGAATTTTTTCAGTTCATGCTCATTAAAATTTAAACTGAAAAAATATCGATACATAGGGATTTTAAGAAAATATCATAAAACTTTAAATTGTTTAAAAACCTTACTGCATAGTAACTACACATTAAAAAAAAGACTTAATTTTACTTACCTAATTACTTAATAAAACTTTTTAGTTTAATTAGTACAATATATTATTCTAGACATATATAGTAAACAGGATAAAAATCAATTTAACAAAAGTGTGATCTAAATGCAAATTGAATATGAATTAATTCTAAAGATAAAAATAACTTTGCATTCCAATTCATTTTTCGTCGGTTAAAACCAAGTTAGCTTTTTTTTCGAATAAAAGAGTTAACAAGTAATATAAAAAAATTAAGTCAATTCTTATTCAAAAAGAAAAACAAATTTAGTTACATTTTATTAAATAGTTAAAATTAATATAAATATGCATAAGCATATGAGAGGATCCCAATATTAAGTACTAAAATAGCAAGCGACTTCCCTTGCAATTTTCCATTTTCCTTTCTATACAGGGTGTTGGTCTATTTTTTGTCTATTACTATTTATTTATATATATATTCATTACTTAAATTTAATTATTTTAATAAAATAAAACAGTAAAAAATAAATCACATTCTCAAAAATCCGGCCATCCCAGAAAGGATTTGAACCTTTGGATTTGAAATCCAAAGCACTATCCATTGCGCTACAGGGACACAACGAACAATTTTCCTTTTTATATATGCTGTTAGACTATTGTTTTGGTTTGCTACTATTTATTCATTTTTTTAAATTTAATTAATGAATTAATATTAAAAAAACTGTATTAAGGTATCCGACTATCCTAAAATCATGATTTTTTTTTAAGAAATTGACACATTTTTCTTATGATTTTATTTTATAGGCCATTTTATTACCTTAAGAAAAATACCAAGTATTTTACTTTCCATTGACTAGAACAAAAACAGCAGGTGTTTTAGTAAAAGCAGATGCCATAACTTTACGCAAGATGTCAAACTTTAAAATTCGTTTTACTCGAAATGTGTTTTTCTCGAAAAGCTCAAATGGGGACGGCGATTGCTCAAAAAGTTTTGAAAATAATTGGCTGAAATTTTTTTGTGTTTGTTCTGTATAATAGTGGGAGTATTTTGACCTTCAGTTGTTTTTTTCAATCACTGTTTTATTACAAGATTTACAGTTCTTTATATGTGAATATAATCACTTTTTTCAAGAAATTTCGTATAATAGCTAAGATAAAGTGGTCAGGTTTTTGTAAAAATTGAAATATCTTTTATCCTGAAGGTCATTTCAAACATGAATAAAAAAGTAACACATCAAAAGTGAACAATTCAGAATTTGTTCATAAAATGTTTGTACAGAGCGAGCACCGTTTATGTAATTTTTTGAACATTTTCACCAGTTTTTTTCCCATTTTAATAATAATGAACTTTTTTTCTGTTTTCAATTTTAGAATTTTCTCCTTATAATATATCTTAAAAAAATCTAAATATCACAAAAAAATCTCCATATCTCCATTTTTTTTTAAAAAAGTTGTTGTAAGCAGTCGGATACCTTAACATATAGTGTCATCCACTACGAGTTTTAAAAAATATATATTTTCGAAATTAAATGGATGAATAGAAAGTATTTTATTAGCAATTTAAAACTTTAATAAGATATATATATACATATATTTATATATATATAGTATTTTATTAATGATTGAAAATTTAAACAAGATCCACATAAACAAATATATATAGGGAGGGAGTGAACTAATAGTAGGAATTGAAAAAATTCCTTTCTGCTACTCATTGTAGGTATAGTTTTCCTCTCTCCCTCCAAGAATCCCTTAAAAATTTTTTTATTTAAATCTAGATAATGTAATCTATTTCTAGAATATTTACATTCGCTACTTCAAAAAGTGAAAATAAATTTATTGGTAAAAACTACAATTTAATCAAGATAAATGAAGCACAAAATAAGAAAATAATAATAGCAGCACAAATTTACTTTTTATTGTATGAAAAATTTCAAATTTTTCAAACTTTTAAACATTTAGACTCAGAGTAATTCCTTTTCTTTATGTGTCTTATTTTAGTTATACTTTACAAATTTTATATTAAAAGCAGTTATACATGCAGCTTTTAATCAAGGCTGTGTGAGAGAAATCTGAAAAATGTTTTACTTATATATTTATATACATTTTTTTTTCAAAAATTGTATCTTATAAGTGAATCCAGAAATATTTCAGAACATTTCAAACTGAAAATTATGTTCATTACGTACTCAGATGAACAACTTTCATCATAAATTAAATTTTTTTTTTTTTTGCTTATCAAACAATATTTCCAAATGTGACTCTAAATAAAGATTCAAATGAAGTAAAAAGTAAAAAAGACGTTTTTAGAAGCTCTTACTCTAATTTAATTCAAACGAAGTATTTTAAGTAAAATAATTCTCACATCATAGATTTAGCATAAAATATGCTTGTTTTCATTTTCATAGTGTATTCAAATACATATATATCGCATATTGCAGTTAATGGAATAATATTGTAAAATATACTATTCACGTTATATTATATTAATGCATTATCTTTTAGAAAGTGCTAACTCGCTCTCTCTCTCTCTCTCTCTATTCTAACATTTATTCTGATATTGATTTTCAACAACGACTAAAAATAAACCAAAATAATTATTTAACTTTAAAACATCAATATCACACAGCCATAAAATTGTTTTAGAAGAAATTATTGATATGAGTATTAAATTGTGTGGTTTCTTTAGAATTTTCACTATGATGTAATAAAGGATCATATGTTAAATAAAATAACACGTAAAATATAATATCTTGCATGATATAAGTAATTAATATTCGTATCGTATGTTACATTGTATTTCTAATTGAGGAAACCCTTGATTTTAAGATAACACACACACATTTTTATAAATATGGAAGAAAAGCGACTAACTCCCACATCGTGAGATCTTATGAATTATTAAACTTAAAGACTTGAAATTAGGCTGAAAGGTTTCTCTTGTTGAGTAGTGGTGGGCTAAGAATGGATTTCGAGAAAATGAAACCCTAAACGGTGGTGGGAGGGTTTAAGGAACGTTATGCGCAAATATTTCCGTTTTTGATTTATTAGACCTAAAAACTTGACATTTGATTGGCACGTTCCTTTCATGAAGTAGAGTAGTTAACAAGGATGTATGGTATTGATAAAATTCATGTTTCTGAATCATTATATCTACAGTATAGAAACTTGGCAAGCATGCTTCTTTTGTTGAGTAGATTTACTAAAAATGGTTTTGGGGAAACTCGATTCCGAGAGAGGGAAATGGAGTGCAAAACCTAAATATAATCTTGAAATAGAAATTCAAGTCTTTTCCTTTTTAAATCAAGTACTTTCCTGTTTAGAAGGAATATGTAAATTGTGTGTGATAAGTGACCTTCTTTTGGTCAACAAATCCCTTTTAATACAGTAAAACAATGTATAAAAAGAATTATTATAGTAATCTCGATTATTATAGTTTATTTTATTATTAGTCTCTCGCTGTGTGTACAAATATATTAGCAACATTTTTTTTATGATTACCAATAACTTAGCGGTCATTGTTAAAAATAAGATATATTAATACATTGTTAACGTTTTGAGAGCACATTTTTTAAAAAAAATTTATCAGGAATTCACATGCATTTAAAAGTTCAAACCGAGATAGATTTGGAGCAGAAATAGTTAAAAAAGTAATGTGCTAGTAAATAGCATTGGAACATAAACTATTGCCTTCTCGAAAATGTTTTCCGTTGCAAAGATGTCGTTTCTTACCACTAAAAATGTGAATAAAAATCGATCAGCAAAGGTTTGAAAAGAAAAAGAAAATGAAATATCGTAAAAAGAAGACAATATGAAAGTATTAGATTTTTATGAAGATAATTTCTTATTTTTATAGTCATCGTTTTTTTTTTTTTCATTTATGCTACTGCGCATTTTTTTTTTTTTTTTTTTTTTTCTGTAATTTTAAATCTATCTTACAAATTATATGTCTCAATTATCTAGCACTATGTCCCCCCATCCATTTTATTTCTTAATATAGCTATACTGTGAACTATAAAACAAACGACTACTGAGAATTATTAAAAAACTGAGAACTGTAATACTGTGTGAACTATAATTTCTTTTTTATTCGTTGTTTTTCATTTAAATATTTGAAATTGGTATTTTCATTTTAAAACTTATTGGTTAAAATTTTCTTTTTAAGTTAAAACTAAACATTTAAGAGGAAATTTAGTTTGTATATAACTAAATTTAATAAGTTAAATATATGAAGTAAATTCAATCAATTCATTTTTGTTGAAATTTTTTTTATAAATTTAAAATTAATTGAAAGATTAATTGTTATCATAAAAATAAAAATTCCTAGTGAAGATACACCGTTGGTCATTGAAATCGCAAAACTATAAAGGAGGAAACCACCAAACCGTATGGCCCCGACGGAGGTAGTCGAGGTTAATGAAAAGGAAATTAAAATAAATGATCCTGAAAAACTTAACGTTAGTAAAAATAAAAATAGCAAATCTAAGAAGAATAACAAGAAACGTAAAAATAAAAGCAAGGAATCCCCGGAAGCATTTGTCTTCCCTAAGAATATTGTTATGTCCGATTCCCCAAATAAAAATCCTGACCCCATCGAAGCAAGCAACAACTTCTACGACCTAGAGCAAGATGTGGAACAACAAATTCCAATAAATATCGATCCCTCTGAGGACTCTATTAACAAATCCCAAACCCCCCTCCCCTTATTATGCTAAAAATAAAAAAGTAACTATAAAGATTAAATTAAAAGCCTCTACGAAATATTTCCCAATCCAAGTCCTCATCAAGCTTTTGACCAGTGACTTCGAGGAATATCGTAGCCTTACTCACGTGTTAGCGGAGAATAAGAACTATGAATACTATGTAATCGAGCCGAAGTTGAATAAGCCAATTAAAGTCTTGATCAAAGGCCTACCGATTTTCACCACTACTAAAGAAATTCGGAGTGATTTAGAACTAGGATATGTAGTTAAAAGCTGCAGCCAAATGATTTTTTAAGAAAAATGAAGTCTCCTCCCCCCCCCCCCTTCTTTCAAGTAACTTTACCCCGAAATGACCATAACAAGTCCATTTCCGACCTAGTGAAATTGGGTTATATGCAAGTTAAAGTAGAGTGCTTCTCCGTAAGGAGAATGACCCAATACTTTAATTGCAATAACTTCTTCCACACCGCCACTAATTGTCACCTTAAACCACGCTGTTTAAAATGCGTAAAAGATAATCTTACTCAAGAATGTGACATTAAAACCAGTCTAGAAAACCCCTACTGCACTAATTATGAAACTTACGGTCACGCAGCATGCTACACAAAATGCCGTAAGTTTTCTAAGCCCAAAAAAGATTCCCTCCACCCCGTAGCAAATAAAAATAAAGACCAAGTTTTCAATAGTAACAATGTTAAAGAATGTATAGCCTACGCAAGTATTAAAAGGTGTTAACTCCCCACCCCCCACCCCAAACAAAATAACACCCAATCTGCTAGTGAAAACCTAGCGAAAACTTTCAAGAACTTCTGGATAAAGGTAACAAAGTATCCGACTTGGTTCAAGTGCGCGAACTTTTTTCCATAGTTTCCCGATCTCATAAAAAGAAAACCTAAGATTTTAACTTTACTTT